TGTCCAGAGAAGGGCAGTGAAACTGGTGAGGGGTCTGGAGCACAGGCCTTATGAGGAGCAGCTGAGGGAGCAGGGATTGTTCAGTCTGGAGAAGAGAAGCTCAGGGGAGACCTCATTGCACTCTACAACTTCCTGAAGGGAGGTTGTGGTGAGGAGGGGTTTGGCCTCTCCTTCCATGCTATGAACTGGACCCAGGGAAATGGCCACAAGTTGTACCAGAGGAGGTTTAGCTTGGGCATGAGGAAGAACTTTTTCTCTCAGAGTGGTCAGGCACTGCAATGGCTGCACAGGGAGGTGGTGGAGTCACCGTCCCTGGCAGTGTTCAAGAGGTGTCTGGATGAGGAGCTGAGAGATCTGGTTTAGTGCTGGTGGTAGCAGTGGTAGTGGGAGGACGGTTGGACTCGATGACCCTGTAGGTCCTTTCCAACCTTGTGATTCTATTATTCTGTGATTCTATGACCATTTGGTCTAAGCAAAACAGTTATATCTAAACACATTGTGTAGATAGCTGATGCGGTTGAGTGATCTCTAGAACTTTACAATACAGAGTTGAAATTATTGTTAGCACATATTATCACATATAAAGATCTCTGTTTCCACAATAAAGATGAATTCTTGTTTTCCTCAGGTTTTGTATTAAAATGTTTCTTCTGCCTATCTAAATATTCTCCTTTTTGCAAGAATAATTCTAAAACTACTTATTCCAGACAAAACAGATGAATTGATAATACTCTAAAATAATTAATCTCAGTGTCAGAAATATTGTCATCATTCCTCCGAGAGGGTTAATATTTTAAGGTGTAGATATCCACTAAGTAGACATTTGGATGTGAGCTATTTATCAGGATCCACTTAACAAGGAGAAAAAAAGAAAAGGAAATATGTCTTCCAGGAAGGATGATCACATCTTTCATTAGGAACAATTTCTTTACTGTGAGGGTTAACAGTCCTGGAGTAGGATTCCTACTCAGGTAGTTGATGCCCCATGCCCTTTGTCAGTGTTCCAGAGGCATCTGAATAATGTCCTCAATATTATCCTTGAGCTTTTGGTTAACCCTGAATTTGGACTAGATGATTGTTGTAGATCTCTTCCAATGGAAATACTGGTTTGACACTTTCTGGGGTATCTGAGGCATTCAAAAGATGCACTACAGGCTTTACAGAGAACTATACCTTTCAGGAGAAAGTCCGAGACTCTCAGGGTATTTCAAATGATCTTAAGTATTTCAGAAGATGGTCTGCAAAATGCCCTAAAATCTGATGCAGCCTCACATACTTCCAAAGCTTGAAAGTGATAGGAGCCAGGGACTTTTTTAGTGCATACAAGAGGCTAAAGTATGTCATGACATTTGGTTCCAGAGCCAAGCTTTCTCCACATTTGATGTGGAGACATCTGAAGTTAGAATTACTATCTACAATATTCACTTAGGGTCATGTCTTCTTATGAAAAGTGCAGTTTAAATGAAGGAAAGGAGAGAAGAAAAAAAAAAAAAAAGCACATATAAGAATAGAAGAATCAATAAAGGAAAGTTGAGAATTTCCAAGTTCTCAATCAGTCTTGCTTATAAAAAATCAGAGAACTAGAACCATCATTGTTATTGTTTTCCAGGTGTTTCACCCCAACCGAGTGGACCTGCACTTCCCTTTTAACATTGGATACCCACAAGGGAAACCCCGTTACCAAAACCCACAGAAATACAATGGTTATCAGATAAAAAACAAAAAACTATTTCATCAAGATCTTGTTAATCTCAAAAACAAGCAGATGATCCTTGAGCAACACAACGAAATACGAAGATCTGTAGTTCCAACAGCTAGGAACATGCTGAAGATGGTAAGTGATGGATTGCTAATAAGCTGCTTTCAAGATTATTAGCAGAATGTTGTTTCCTTCTAAACTCTCCACACTCAGTGAATAGAGATGACAGGAAAGTTACTCTAGAATTGAGATGAAAAAAATCAAAATCATATCCCTTTGTTTCTACAGAACTCATGCCCTAAGTTTGCAAACTAAGATGCTGCAAGCACTTGTAAAATCATTGCAAAGGTCTCAGAACAGGCCACAGGTGCTATCTGAAAACTCCCTCTTAGCCAGCAAGTCTTGATTAGATACGATAAGAAGTAATGGGCTTCAGTTGCGTCAGGGGAGGGTCAGGTTGGATATTAGGAAAAATTTCTTCTCAGAAAGAGTGGCAATGCATTGGCAAAGGCTGCCCAGGGCAGTGGTGGAGTCACTGTGCATAGAGGGGTTCAAGAAAAGAGTGGATGTGTGCTTACTGACATGGTTAGTGGACGTGGTGGGAGTGGGTTAATGGTTGGATTGGTCATCTTAGAGGCCTTTTCCAGCTGTAATGATTCTGTGATTTGTGCAGTAAACAAAACCCAAGAAACCTGGAAAAGTCGCTATGCTTATGGTCATTTGTTTGGAGATAGCATGAACACAGGTTTGCGCCAACCATCGATTTATTGCTGTCAAACCTGTCTTAACCTGGCTAGTACAATGAGTCACAGATTCTTGCCTTTTGTTTGCTAACCGCAATCGTCAGCAACTCAGACACAACCTTTTTTCTTCTCCTTCAAGGACTGCACAAAATTTCTATGACCTGAATGCTCCTTCCTTTGTGTCTTTCAGGTGTGGAATGAGAAAGCTGCCAAAAACGCTCTGAAATGGGCAAATACATGTGAAATGCAAATCAGCCCAGTGCAGCACAGAGTTATTGACGGTATGTGAAGAACATGGGGGCTAAACTTATGGGTTAATGATGATTTGCAGAAAGCACGTCTGCATGTGAACTAGAAATAAGGATAAACGTTAATCTGCTTTTTATCTTTTGAGGATTTTTAAGCACAAAAATATCATCTTTGTCACAAAAAGACCCAAAAGACAAACTGTTGGAGCCTGAGAGAGAGGGCAAGCTACGAACTGACCCTGTTCTTGTACCTTTCTTTAGCTATCCTCTTTCAGTTCCTGCTGGAAACAAGTCAGTAGCATAGAGAAGTGTTGGTCTATTAAGCACACATATTTTTGTGTCATATTTTGTAGTCAAATAACCGTCTGTGACTGAAAAGTCACTGATATTGGAATAACATGCTTTGCCAGGATCACGTGCCCTATCCTCCAGGAGTTGTAGATTGCTGATGCCATAAGAAATCACCATTCCCTCCGTCATGCCTCCCCCCTACAGCTTTCTTCACTCCTGTGTAATAAAATAGACGTTCTTCTACTTCAGGTATCACCTGCGGTGAGAATATCTTGCTGTCATCTCAACCAAAAACATGGGCTGAAGCAATCAAAGTCTGGCACAATCAGGCCTCCAATTTCAAGTATGGTTTTGGAGCAACTACAAAGAGCGCCAGTGTCAAGAACTACGCTCAGGTATGAGGAAATAAAGGGAACTGCAGTGGTACACTAGAATCACACGTGCACAAATTAGGGTTGCTGAGGGGTGTTTATTATCAGAAAAAAAAAACAAAAATAAAAATCGGTGCCATCAAACTATTATCTTTTATGCTCTCATCCAAAGATGACTGAAAAATTAAAATCTTTTCTCGTTTGCATCTGAGACAATGGGACCAATATCTAAGAGAGCCACCCAGAAGAGAGGCAACCTGTGGAAAACATAAATGATAACACAACAACACAAATAAACAAATAAATGATGATGGTGCAGTATTTTTGATATGCAAATAATGGAAAAACATTAAAATACATACATATGGACATTGAAATGTCAAATGAAAAGAGCTATGATGAAACCATTCAAGTTGAAATTTCTATTATTCTGCCAAAAATTATGTCCAAAACATTTGGAAACCAGAAGACATCACTAATTCATTTTCCTATTTATTCTTCCTGACAGCTAACTTGCAAACATAACAGAGAGAGAGTGAAAATGAATAAATAAGTGAATAAATCTATCTTATGATTTGAAATACAGCGTGTTTCTGACATGACTTCACTGTTTTTTATTCTACAGCTAGTGTGGTACAACAGCTACCAGGTTGGGTGTGCAGTTGCCTACTGCCCAAGGAACCAATACAACTACTTCTATGTTTGCCACTACTGTCCTCCGTACGTACTGCTTTTTGGCTCTCTTGAGATGTTCCAGACATGGTTTTAGAAAGTCCTGCAGTCTGTTGAGCATTCGTAGGATCAGATGCCTCCAGTTTGTTTTGGCCATTTGGAATTTTGAAAACGCCAATATGAATTGTTGCTTTAACATCGAGTTGAATATATAAATGTTTAGTGTGATCCACGTTGAAACTGGAAGTAGGGGAATATTAGCATATGAATGAAGAAAGAAAGGTCTGTATAAGGGTCAGGCATTCACAGAAGAAAAGAGCAAATCCCTAACACCTGCATGTCAGGAGGTTGCTGCCAAGATAATTTCCTTATGTGCTGGAAAGCCATTAGAAAAGCAGAACAAGGAAGCACGTAATTTTTTAAACTGGTAATGCTATACAAAAGCAAAAATCCAATTAGTTTTCTTTCCCTAAATGCCTCCTGTTTAAAAACAAAGATCTGGTATTCTACGAACAGCCCAAACACGACTATTTATGATAATCATTCTACCCAAAACTTGTTGCTGTCTTTCACTGTGATGAAAAAAAAGTAAACTGTCAGTGGCTCAGAACTGCACCGCGATCTCATGGTGTTCGTTTCTGTAACATTTCAGAGGGAATAACATCATGCAAGTGGCTGCACCTTACAAGAAAGGACCCAGATGTGCAGACTGTCCCGGCCACTGTGAGAGAGGGCTTTGCAGTAAGTATTTTCCTCCTTAAAACACTGTGCTGCCTCATATAATGACTTTACTCTTTTATAGCATGCCTTTCCATACCTAACCTTTTATTACCTTCATGCAACCTTTGGCAGGAAGGATGTCACAGAACCGCCTCTTAATTCACCTGCATTAACATAACAGTGGTTAAGTAACTACTGACAGGTTGTGAGCAGGGTCTGGGAGCAGATGGTCCCCAGAGGACCCTTCCAACCCCCTCAGCCCTGTTATTGGGTGCACGCCGTTGCTGCCAAGAAGTGCACGATTGGATTGACAGTCTTCTGCTGCCCTCTGCAGGGAAGCTCCGGGCACAGTGTCAGGATGTGCATCTGTATCCAAGGGAATGTCTGGATTGTCAGCTTTCACATTTGTCCCTATGGACATAAAGGTCCCCACTGATCTGGGGACCTGGCTGACCTGGATCTCCCCTGGCTGTGGTAGAATTCCATGTGGAGCAACTCAACTGTTTTTCTGTCTGCTTCCCCTTCTATAAGCAATTTAATTCTTATATACTCCACTCTTATTAAGTATTCTTATATACTTATGTGCTTATATACTCAAGCAATTTGAAAAGCTGAGCATGGAACTATAGAATACCAAGGTTAGAAAAGAGCTCCAAGGTCATCTAATCCAACTGCCTGCCAATATTTCCCCAGCAAATGTACAAAGACTGCATAGACAAGAAAACGAATGAAAAAATAAATAAAAATAAAAATAATAAATAAATAAAAATAAAAATAATAAATAAATAATAATAAAAAAAAAGCAAATAAAAATAAAAAATAAAATAAAAATAAAAAGCACTTTGTAAAATGCAGAAGCGTCACTGTAGGACTGTTTTTTCAATTAATACATTTCATGGCCTTTCTCTATCTGTTCTATTTCAGCCAATCCTTGCAGACATCGAGATGCATTTCCAAACTGCAGAAATATGAAAAGCTTGTTTGGCTGTAAGCATTCAGTGGTGAAAACGAAGTGTCCTGCCACCTGTAAGTGCACCACTCAGATTGTATAAAGGCCTGGAGGATGTCACTGCAGCTGCTTTGGAACTTATGTATGAGGAAAGAGTAGAACTGGGAAGAAAAAAAACCATTCATGCTCAGCGTTTCAGCTCAGATTGACCTGAATGTAACTTGTTTATGAAATCACATAATTGTTTCAGTTCCAAATTAATCTGGTGGCTCAGATAGACTCTGATGTTATGTTAGGCTTTGTAAAAATCATGATTAAGCTATTAATGTGGTTTTCGGTTTTTTTGGTGGAAGTTTCCACTGATTCATATCCTTTTAATGGGAAACGCACTTTTAAAACATGAAAATACATGTTAAATTCCACTTAACTTTCTTCTGTTACCTTTTCTTCAATTATAAATGGAATATATTCCTGGCTAAATAAATGTACGTTCACAAACAAGAAAAGTTGTTTATAACTTTTTCATTTGGAAAATTTCCCATGGATACTTCAAGGATGCAAGTGAGGATGAAACTGGAAAAGAAAAGCAGAGCCAAAAGTCCTGCACTGTTTTGTACAGAAAAGAGAAGAGGCATACACTGATTGTGACCTAAACACAAATCTTCTGACACATAGAATCACATTTAGGGTAGGAAGGCCCTACGGAGGGATCTGGACAGGTTGGATCAATGTGTTTAGGATGGTGGGTTGAAGTATAAGAAGACAAAGTGCTGAGTGCTGTATTTGGTCACAACAATCCCAAGCAGTTATAAAGGACAGAGTGGCTGGAAGGCTGAGTGAAGGAGATGGACATGTGGGTGTTGGTCAACACTTGGCTGAACATGAGCCAGCAGTGTGTCCAGGTGGCCAAAAAGGCCAAAGGCATCCTGGATTGTATCAGAAATAGCATGGCCAGCAGGAGCAGGGAAGTGATCATCCCCTATCCTTGGCACTGGTGAGGCTAAACATTGAGTTCTGTAATCAGTGTTGGGCCCCTCACTGCAAGAAAGACATTGAGACCCTGGAGCACGTCCAGAGAAGGGCAATGAAGCTGTGAGGGGTCTGGAGCACAAGTGTTAAGGGAGCAACTGAGGAACTGGGGTTATTCAGGCTGGAGAAAAGGAGGCTCAGGGGACATTCCAGTGCACTCTACAACTCCTTGAAAGGAGGTTGTGGCAAGGTGGGGTCAGCATCAGCACCCGTGTAACTAGCAGTAGGATGAGAGGTGATGGCCTCAAGCTAAGCCAGGGTGGGTTCAGGTTAGATATTAGGAAAAATTAGATTAGGAAAAATTTCTTCTCAGAAAAAGTGGTCAGGCATTGGAATAGACTTCCCAGAGAGGTATGGAGGCACCATCCCTGAAGGTGTTTAAGGAAAGGGTTGATGTAGAATGTAAGGACATGGTTCAGTGGGTAATATTGGTGGCAGGTGGGCAGTTGGACTAGGTAATCTTAGAGGTCTTTCTCAACCTCAGTGATTTTGTAATTCTATGATCTGTACACTGAAGTGATAAACACATTCTCTCCAGAACTGCCCAGGTAACAGCACTAATTTCTATCAAAGCACATCTGTAGGACCTCTACCAATAAATTCAATTGCAGGCCTTGGATGTGCCTTCTCCTTCCTGTATTTGCAGACCACCAAGTATCACCTAAGGGGGAGTTTAGCTGGATCTGCTGTACTTGGTCTTAGGGCCATGATCATTCTTGTTTTGCTTCTAATCTTGCATTTACTTGCATAAGATACTGGTGGTGTTATTACCTGTTAGGTCTTTAGTCTTTGCATTGTTTCTGTGTGTGCAGAGTTGCTGAGCATTTGACACCACTGTAGCAGAACAACGTGACTCTCTCAGATCTTGCTGACATTCCTGCAGTGGGTGCAGTTCAAGGAGATCATAGAATCATAGAATGGTTCAGGTTGGAAGGGACTTCAAAGACCATTGAGTCCCATGGGCAGGTTTGTCAACTATCAGATCAGGCAGTGGATCCCAGAGTCCCATTCATCCGGGCCTTGGGCATTTCCAGGGATAGGAACCCACAGTTCCCTGGACAGCCTGTTCATGGGTTGTTTTCATGATAGCCAAATGAACTGCCTTCTCTTCATCCATTTTTTGGCTGGAAAGCTGCCTGATGGAAAGGGACCTTGGCTGAATATGAGCCAGCAGTGTGCCCAGATGGCCAAGAAGGCCAATGGCATCCTGGCTTGTATCAGGAATGGTGTGGTGGGCAGGACTAGGGAAGTCATCCTGCTCCTGTACTCAGCACTGGTGAGGCCTCACCTTGAGTATTGTGATCAGTTTGGGGCACCTCAGTATAGAAAGGAGATGGAGGTATTGGAGCAGGTCCAAAGAAGGGCAACAAGGCTGGGGAAGGGCTTGGAGAATATGGGCCTACAAGTAGAAACTGAAGGAACTGGGGCTGTTTAGTCTGGGGAAAAGGAGGCTGCAGGGAGACCTTATTGCTCTCTTCCAGTGTCTGAAAGGAGCTTACAGTGAGAGCAGGGTTGGTCTCTTCTCACTGGTGCCAGGTGACAGGATGAGTGGAAATGGCCTCAAGTTGTGCCAGGGTAAGTTTAGGTTGTATATCAAGAAACACTTATTTACTGAAAGGGTTGTTAAGCACTTCCTAAGAAAGAAGCTCCTTCCCTACGACTTTCCTCCTGACACACTCCCAAGCCTCTGCAGAGCAAACAAAACATCCCAGCTCTGTGCAGGATGCACTGCAGTGTCCTCGGGTACTGAGTCACATACGCCAGCCCCGAGCAGGACTGACATCTCTTATCACATCCCCTTGCCATTTTAGACCAGCAAAAATCATTCATTCGATAGGACTGCAATTCTGGTTCAGAGCACAAGAGGGTGAACTATGCCCAGACATTCAGCTCAATCAGGTTTTCACATTGCTACCTGTAGGAAAATCTGCTTTTACTAGAAAGAGAAGTTCTGAGCCTGCTCCAACTGTTCTTAACAATAATCTGTACAATATTTACTAGTTAACTCTTGATGAATAAATAATCACTTCATATAAAATTAGTTTGGTAGTGGTTAATTCCCCTTCAGTGTTTCATCGTATCTCTGTTGGCCAAATGACTTTCTTGTTTAAGCCATTTGTTCTATCAAATTAAGGCAATGTTTTAGTTTCCAGTATGTCAGTGCTAGTTCCAGCAGTTTTGATTGTTTCTTCCATCCCTCTCTCTCTCTAACTCAACAAACATTTAATGATGAGAGAATTCCGTGAGAGCTCTCCCCAAAAAGAGATTTTTGTGCTCTGAATACCCAACTATGTCACTGGAGCAAGGCAGCAGAGCTCACCTGCACCACGAAGTGCTGAGCTGGGGCATCACACAGCCTATAGGGCTGAATGGCATGTGGACATTATGCTTCTTCTCATAGGTAATTTCCAAAGATTTTGGTTCCCTACTGACATGGAAGAGGAAAACAGCAGGTGAGATGGAACGCTACCTGGATTATCCTGATTCTCAAGACTGCAAGGAGAGCATGGGACCCTGGCTGGCATTTAGCTGTTCATGTCCTTAGGAAGCCTGAGATGTTTCTGAATAGTGAATAATAGTTTCCCATAGACAGGTGAGTCTATGATTCTACAACTGATTCTTGGTGAAATAAAAACAATACGACATCTGAGCTCTAGTACATCAAACGCTGCTTTTCTCCCTCCTCAGACTATATTCACAAACTTATTTTTATAGTAATGCCATGAGTGTTGTTTCCTTTCTGGTTCTAGCATAGGTTTCTCATTATGTACTGAATTTATACAGTCAGGACTCTGATATTTTTGAGATGTAGTTCAGCACAGAAACTAATAACACCAAGAGCTTCTTACTGCTTCTGTTCGGCTCCAGACATCCATACACGAAGCACATATGCTGAGAGATGATAAGAGCAGCTACTATAGTACAAGTCTTATCTGTGGAGAATGGGGCAAGAGCTCCTAAGTAGCTCACTTATGTGGCAAAGAATTTAAGCAGAGTTTTGAACAAAAACTAAGAAGTAACATTTAACAGTCTTATGGCTTGTGAAGCAAGAACACTTGTGATGTTTAAAATAAGCCATCATGTTATCTACCTTGTCTGAGAATCAACTATAGAGCTCAGGAAAATGAAAGATCTTTCACTTCCAGTGTCCAAAGTCTTTCTGAGAGCCCTGGGCCTAAGTTTTCAATATTTTTCTCTATCTATCAGTCAGATAGAGGGAATAACCATCCCATGAACTATACCTCATTCATGCCCTTAATGTATCAAACCTATAATAACAGCAGGTTTGAGCAGCTAAAGGTAAGACTTTCTACTGAATGGAAAACAAGATTTGGAAAGTCTGGGGGGATCTTTCATTTCAAAATGCTATCCAGAAATTTGCTGACATCACTAGGTAAAAACAGATCCCAGAGACTGTCTTTCCACTGTTCAGAAAAAGTATAAATTACACGTTTCCATTGGATGATTAACTTTTAGATGGACACTCACAGGTAAAATGTGCACCACTCCAGCTTGGTAACTCTCTACATGCTGCAGAGCAGCATCATTCCTTCAGTCCCATCAAAAACACGTTTCTGGTGTTGCAAGATGGGTCACTTGATGAGAATAAATAATCAGGTAACCTGATGATAATCTGTAAATGAATAACAGGGAATCTTATGGACTACAGATAGAGCTGCAGAGGATTAAAAAATGAGAATTTGCTCAAAAAACTACGCAGAGAGATAACATCCACCTGCCCACTGTAGTGCATTCAGATGTTGCCAAAATAGGGCAGCATTCTAAAAGGTTCTATTGTATATTCACGTATGATGATCATAGAATCATAGAATCACAGAATCACAAGGTTGGAAAGGACCTACAAGATCATTTAGTCCAACCATCCTCCTGTCGCCATTACTACCCACTAAGCTCCTAAACCATATCCCATAGCACCTCATCCAGATGCTACTTGAATACTCCAGGCACCTCTTGAACACAAGATGTATGGATGTATTTCCCTGGGGTGTACAATTTCCCCTGCTGACTGCATACTCCAAGTAGATCCACTTATTATTTTCTCTGAGTTTCTATCCCACCCTGGGCCTTCACCTCAACATTCAGGTTAAGTCTCTATCAGAACACACACACATGTGCATACATACATACTTCCTTGGCAAGCCACTAGGAATCCATGTGGTCAGAATATCCAGGACAGAAAATGGCAGTGAGAACCTCAAGCCCTTGCAGCACAAAGCCACTAGGGCCAGGACAGGATGAGGATGGTTCCCACCCCTGGGCTGCTCCTGGTTCTTCTCAACCAGGCTGCCAAGGATGGGTTCCTCCAAGTGTAAGGGTCACAGTTAAACTGTGAAAAACAGGAGATGGGACTTCCTCATTAAAAAGATATCAGACAGCCCTTTCAACTGCAGGCAAGACTTTTCACCTCTCTGCTTC